GGATTACTTTTTGGGGGAAGTAATCAGTAATTAGTTACTGATTACTTTTTTCAAGTAACTTGACCAACACTGGTCCTGATCAAGCATCAGCTGAAACCACCAACACAGCTGCTCTCTTTGGTTGTCATTTTTGATGTGTGTACGACCTTCGTTATCTGAGATTACAGACGTCTCTTTAAGCAGAAGAGATGTGTTGTTGGTAAAAATAAGAACATTACTGTTATTTCAAAGCTTTAATAAACTTTGAATTATTTCATAATTCCTTTATGTGTCGTGCTACTGAGTCTGTGACCCAGTGTTTTGTGTTCATTGGTTAATTTATATTTTTGCATTATTGTTATTTGGTTCTCTTTATTGTTTTCTGCTTGTGTTATATTCTTAGTTCCTAGGTTTCTGTCACTTTGCCTTCCTCCTGTTCCACGTCTAGTCACTCTTGTCTCCATGTCTAGGTGTCAAGTCTGTCTTTGTGAATGTCTCATGTCTCCTGTTTTATTTTGATAGTCCTTGTGCTGTGTTTGTGTATCTAATTTCGCTTCCCCTTGTCTCATTATGTCTGATTAGCCCCCAGCTGTGTTTCCCTCCTGTTTCCCATTCCCTCGTTACTCCCTTGTGTATTTAATCCCCGTGTTCTCCTTTGACTGTTATGTTGTACCATCCATGTGCTGTGTGCGATGTACCGTAACTCACCGACTCCCAGCTCTGTATTTACCAGTGTTCAAGTTTCCAGTTTAGGTTTTGTTTGTCTCTCGGTTTTGCTACAGCACAATAAAAGCTGCGTCTTTGAGTTCATCCTTCTGTGTCCATGAGTTTGGGTCCTCATCCTGCCCACCACAGCACCAAACCTTGACGTTATTAAGCTCTATCTTGGAGAAATACACGTTTGATTAACCTTTCATACGTGTTGGTGGAGGAGATATTGTTTTATCCCAGAGTAGCTGACTTTTACAAGCAGAGGAAGGGCACGAGATTTTCCCCTAGCTGTGTGTTTCCATACGAAGGCCAACCAAAACCAGTTCACTCAGGATCTCACAGGAAAATCAAACTAGAAGTCAGAGAAACACAGTTTATTGAAAACTTTAAAAAACAAAAACACACATATCCAAACTTCTCCTGTTGGGTTTACACAAATCCCTGAGCCAGTCAAAAATGTGGTACTTCCAGTGTGGTGTCCCAGCTTTTGCCAGAGACAGGATTTAAGAAGGACGCATAGAAGTGAACCCTGTTTAGAAATCTATAGAAAAGGGAAGAACAACAGAGCCCCAAACAAACAGCTAGAAGTGAAAACATATGAACTAATCAGCGTATTGCATAGATGCATGCTGAGTGGCAGCAACCTTTTCTCCCTTCTTATGGGTTATGGCATTAGCGAAACAGGGTCGCTACACAAATTTTCCAGTGTGCAAATTAACTGTTGTGGAGTGGCGTATTTAAACCCTAACAAAATCCTTATTAGAGTCTAACAATAAGTGTAAGTGAAAGCAAATAAAAAAAACACACAAGAAAGCACAGAAAATGAAGGTCTTGATCTGCTTTTTAACAAACTGACTGATTCTGACAGCAACCCTCCAACTTCCTGCACATGTTTCATACTAATGCAAAACAACACCTGATGAGTAACTGTGAGAATCTGGTGGCATTTTACAAAACTGCATTAATTACACTCCAGGATGACGTTTACCTTCCAGAAAAACCCGACTTCCCTCAGTACTTTGCAGCTCCTGGCCCATTAACTCAAACTAAAGAGACAGATCTTTTAAACTAAACAAACATAAATATGAATATTTTATTTTTTAACAACTTTTAACTTTAGTTTATAGCCTGTCTAACATCACTCTAGCAAGAATCTCTTTGGAGCCTCTATAACAGGGGTGGGCAATCTTAGTCCACGAGGGCCGGTGTCC